CAAATTGCATCCCCAGAAGCCTTTCGGGGGAGTAATTTACAATTTTATGAAATTCTGTGGGCCCGTTTTGGACTGGAAAAGCCCGTAACAATTAGGAAGTTACCACCTGGAGGTACATGCTTCTGACTTGATATTCATCCCTGTGAATCAAAGGACTGAATTTGTCATTTTAACTCAGTTACGTTAAAGAGTGCTACCTCTGCTGTATCAAAGGGAATGTCACCTGCAAATCATGAAATATAATTTATGTTACTGAGTTCCCAAGATGTTGGATAAAACAACAACTGACCTATCCACATAAGTTTCAGGAACTATGAATCATCAATCTTGATAAGAAAATTAGAACAACCGGTAGTTCAGAAAAACACAAGACTGTGTGATGTATTGGTTACTGCCATTCTGATCCAATAACATTGGAAACAAGAAACAAACATCTGGATATATGGACTTTGTGCCTTAATGTCCCATAACTGTCAGCTTGGAACATAACTCCTGACATTTTCCTACTGCAAATGCCACACGCTGCAAAAGAGCTGCCACTTTTGCTAAAGCAGTCCAGCAAAAGAAGATAGAAAGTCAAACCCTTTTCCTGCTCCCTCTGCCTGTTTATTTTCAATCAAAGTGAGTTGAACTTGACGTTTGATACCCTACTTGGCTGCCATAAGATTATCTTGGACAATTCTCCTGCATACATTATATTTGGAAATTAAGCACTCCTCTCTCTTGAAATTCGTAGGTCAGATGTGGTCAGAACATGCCTTTCTTATCATGCAGAAAATCCATTTTTAAAAAATGAATTATGAGACAGTGAGAGTTAAAAGCTGGGGTTGGTCTCCTCTGAGTTTGAGAATTCTGACAGCAAGTTTGCCCCAATTTTCATAAAGGAAAATGTCTCCCAGTTTTGACAATGTAATCAAGGATGAAATCATTTCAGAGGAGTTACAGAGTGCAGGAAGATAAGGCTGAGAGTTGGCAGTATTTGCTCCTGGGAAGCTGATCTTGAAAACAATTCAGTCCAGAAAAGGACTGTCTTTAAAAGTTGGTTTCTGCGCTACCATTTGGGAAACGTTTGATTCTAAATAGCAAATAAAATATAAATACATGTCACAAAATACTTTATATTGACTTAAAAGAAGAATACACCAAGCTTTTCCAACAGCTTCTGTACACAAACAGAAAAATGATAGGACTGAATTGGGCCAAGACCACTGTGGGGAAGGAGAGGGGGAACTGAAGAGGAAGGAAGTTGCCTGTGGTTTTTTGGGGGGAGGATATGTCTTTAAATAATTCCAGGGTGTAAACAAAGCAGAGGTTAGGCTGGAGTTGGAGAGACTCTGATTTTAACCCTTACATTTCTAAGCTGATTCAAATTCCTGTGTTCCCACACTTATCTCTTGTTTTTTAGTTCTGCAAATTAGCTGGCCCTTTTCCTAATTTATGCTTAGCAATGTGCTTGTAATCTGGGTTAGTTCTAGGCTTTTTACCTACTGTTACTTGAATCACTCACTTTCTATATTCACCAATTGCTGCCAAGTGGATTAAGGATGCAGATAAAGAACTGTAGTCATCAGTGTGTGTACACTGTGACAAGAAGGGCTAAAAAACCCTTAAATTCTGGGCTAAAGAATCCTAAATTCTGTGACTAGAATAGGTTGGAAGAGATTATGAATAACCATGTTATGAACATGGTTCGCTTTACACAATTTTAGTTTTTGAAGAATTTGCTTGACCTCCTGGCTGTTGTAGAAGAAAGGAAAGAATGACCAATGGGAAGGCCAGAGATCTAGGTGCCCAGTTTCAGCCAGGAGGACAATGGTGGTTGCAAGTCCACTTTTGACTTTTCCATTCTCTCTTTTTTGTGAGCTTTTACTGGATTCTTGTCATATCACTATGTTTAAAGTAGATAATGAAGACATTGAGATAGTGAAGGATTCCCTATAACTTGGCTCAGTCATTAATCAAAATTGAGAATGCACTCAAGAAATCGGAAGACTAGAACTTGGAAGGGCAGCTGTGAAAGGACAAGATCCTGAAATGTAAAGATCTATCATTAAATACTAAAGTTAGAATTGTCCCTCCCATTATATTCCCCATTTCTATGTATAGTTGAGAAAGCTGGATAGTGAAGAAAGCTGATAGGAAGAGAATCAACTCAGTTAAGATGTAGTATTGGAGAAGAGTTCTACGAATACCATACATACACTGCTAAAAAGACCAATAAATGGGTCTTGGAGCAAATTAGGCCCAAGTGTTCCATGGAATCAAAGTTGACTAAACTGAGACTGTCATACTTTGGTCATAACAGGAGAAGACATGACTCCTTAGAAAAGACAACAGTGCTTTGCAATCTGTAAGGCAGTAGGACAAGAGGAAGATAGCATTGCAGATATATAGACTCAATCAAGGAGTCTGCAAGACCTGTCATCATCCTGTTGATGGCTGGGTGACTTGGAAGTTTCTCATTCATAGGGTTCATAAGTCAAAGTTGACTTGATGACAGCTAGCAAAAACAATATATCACTAATTATTCAGACCTACAGGGATGAAGTCAAATGTCAGGTAAGGTCTCAGGATGCCAGCCCTAGCAGATTTTGTGACAAGCCCATGTAGCTAAAGTGATTTAGGGCCTCGGCAGACGACTAATAAAGTCGTCTCTGAGTCTTGGAAGAGGAGGGGCAGCCGCACGTGCGGCGCTCCTTCCTCTTCCCGAGGTTGCCCTCGGAGCTGCTGGCCCTCCGCACGGCCGGCGCTCTGAGGGCAACCTCCTGCCGCAGCGTCCTCACATGCTGCGGCAGAAAAGGCAGGGAAAGTGCACCCTATGCTTTTAGGGTGCACTTTCCCTGTCTTCTAAAAGGAGCGCCAAATGCGCTCCTTCCAGGGACGCTGCAGGAGCGCTGCGGTGCTTCCCCCTTAGAGTGTGCTTCCCCCCTTAGAGTGTTGGACTGGAATTTGGGAGATCCAGGTTCATGTCCCTTCTGAACCATGAAACTCAGGTTGATTCTGAACCAGTCAGTTTCTGTAAACCTGATCTGCTTCACACCAAGGAGCAGGGCAGCCATGTACGCCATACTGAGCTAATCATAGGAAATGCTGGTCATAAATTAATTCAGAATTTGGTAATTGTTCAACCATCAAAATATGGTAAGAATGCGTACATTTTTGTTAATTAGGCTTCCTACTATTATGTGCCTCCAAACAGTAGCATCATGGGTGTGTGTGTGCAGGCCACACTGGGTGATAACCCAGAAGGGGGTTGACACCCAAGAAGAAAGGGTGACACCAGGCTGGCTCCCCGTCCCTGCACAGGGCCTTTTCGGGTGCCCCCCACCCCAGAAGCCCCCCCACACTGGGTGTCACCTGGTGTGGGAATGCCACAGCCTTCAAATGAATTGTGACTTAAGGCAACACTTTGATAGGAGTGTTATTGCAAGATTTTTTTCAAGGGAAGATTGCTCCTGCCTTCCTCTTAGCTTGAGAGAGTGTGACTTGCTGAGCAGGGATTTGAACCCTGGTTTCCTGGAGTCCTAGTCCAATATTCTGGCTCCACACTGGCTTCATGAATCAGGCTAGATGGTACAAAAAAATGTTGAAATGCAACCACTGCAACACCACAGGACAAACACCTAGAAAATCTTGGGATGGGAGACTACCAAGTCTGCAACTCTGGGATTTCATCCAACTGCTCATAGCTACAACATGTAGCCAGTTTTTAAAACAAAACAAAACAAGACTTTTTTCCTCTCCCCATCTCCTTTTTTAAAAATAATCAGAATAGATGTTACAAAAAACAAACAAACAAAAAACAACAACAAAAAAACCCAAAAAACAGAGGAGAAAGAGAAACAAAAAGTAAAAAATAAATAAATCTGGCCACATGTTATAGCTTTGCTGGGCAGGAAAAGGTGACCTGAAGCTGCCTTTTCTTTAAGCTGCAGCAACTGCACCTCCTGCCCCAAGGATGCCCTAAATGAGGACAGAGCAATTGCACTGGGAAGAGTCAATGCAGCTTTTCCGAGGCTGTATTGAAGCCCCAGCAACTGCACCACCATCCCCAAGGACGCCGCAAAGGGAGAAGGAGCAACCGCATGTGTGGACAGCGGCTGCTTTAAATTTTTTTTGTTCTCTCAGCCGCATGCACATGTGCGCAGGAGCACATCCCTGCGCACCTATGCACCTGTGCAGGATTTGTCACAGGGTAGTATACAGTCTGTCACTCTGTGTACAA